TGACTGGATGCCCCACAGTGGAAGACGCCAAGGGACTCGTGCAACAATTGATTGCTGTATTGGGTTCTGGTGGATTCGTCCTGAGAAAATGGGTATCCAATGAAACTTCTATAATTGAAGACTTACCTTTATTATTGAGAGGAAAAGGTGAGGTGATGGAATTTAATAGAAAGGGATCGGGCGAGAACGTTTTTGGAATCCAATGGGATCAAGTTATGATACCCTCAACATTTCTTGTAAATCTGGTCCAGCTGATATTAAATCAAAGAGACAAATTGTATCGGCTATAGCCAGAATTTATGACCCCTGTGGCTGGCTTTCCCCTACCACAGTTGTGCTGAAACTTCTCCTCCAAGAAATATGGAAATTGAAATGTGGCTGGGATGAAGATATACCTGCTTCTATTCAAAGAAAGTGGAATACTTTTGAAAGAGAAATGAAGCATTTCCAACAAGTCAGTATTCCAAGATGTATATTCCAAAGGAATTTATTAATTTCCAATATGCAGATGCATGGATTCTGTGATTCATCGGAGTTGGCTTATTCTGCTGTCTGTTATCTAAGAATAACTTATGAGAATAATCAAATTGAGACCATTCTTTTGACAGCAAAAACAAAAGTTGCTCCCATCAAGAAAATAACCATACCAAGACTTGAGCTTTGCGCAGCCTTGATGTTGGCGCAACTTCAATCGCAGACAACTCAAGCACTTCCCTTTAATATCGATGAACAATTCTATTGGACAGATTCAAAGATTGTTCTGGCGTGGATTACTTCTGAATCAAAGAAGTGGCAGATATTTGTGGCCAATCGGGTGGCAAAGATTCAAGATCTGACTGCAGCCCATTCATGGCAATATATATCAGGCAAGCAAAATCCAGCAGACATTGCTACGAGAGGAATTTTGCCTTCCTGTTTGATCAATTCAAAATTATGGTGGCATGGACCCGTTTGGTTGACATTAGATGGTTCTGAAAATATTCCTTCATTCACTATAGACCCTTCTATGGGTTTAGAAGAGCGTAGTGTTATACTGCATGCTACAATAGCAGAACCATGCCCAGAGTTTTTGTCAAAATATTCTTCCTTTACCAAACTTTTAAGGGTCATGGCTTGGTGTAAAAGATTTATTAATATTACCCGAAAACAGCCAACTCAAAGACTCTCATTTCTAACATCCCAAGACTTAAAAGACTCTCTATTACAAATCGTCAAGATTATTCAGAGATGTGAATTCACCCCAGAAATCAATGCTTGCATGAAAAATATTCCATTACCAAGAAAAAGCAGGCTTATTTCGCTTAACATTTTTATAGATTCCCAAGGAATTCTTAGAGTAGGCGGAAGATTACGTCACTCGGATTTAGATATTGATCAGAAGCATCCTATGCTAATTCCTAAAGATCATTTTGTAACCAAATTAATTGTAATGCACTATCACATAAACAATCTTCATTCTGGAACTCAATTAACTTTATCTTTGATTCGAAATAAATTTTGGATTCCTTCTGGAAGAAACTTAATCAAAAGGGTCTTAAATCAATGTCTCGTATGCCTGAAGAGTAAATCTAAGGCTATTCATCAGATAATGGGAGACTTACCAAAAAATAGACTTCTTCCAGGTAGACCATTTGAAAAGATTGGTATTGATTTGGCCGGTCCTATTCAAGCTAAACCTATGTTGAAACGAAGCAAAGTTATTTTCAAATTCTACATAGTCCTATTCGTTTGCTTCACCACCAAAGCCATTCACTTAGAAATTTCATCAGATTTGACTGCGGAAACCTTTCTTGCAGCATTGAAAAGATTCATCTCTAGAAGAGGAAGACCAACTGATATATACTCAGACAATGCAACTAACTTTAAAGGTGCAAGCAACATTTTGAAAGAACGATGGAAGTTGTTCAATGCTGCTAATATTCAAGATTTTTCAGCCATAGAATCCATTAATTGGCATTTCATTCCTCCGTCGGCACCTAACTTTGGTGGATTATGGGAAGCTGGCATTAAATCAGTTAAAACCATCTTATCTAAAACGATGAAATCTAGGTTATTGAATTACGATGAATTACTGACCTTATTAGCTCAAATTGAGGCCTGTCTTAATTCCAGACCATTAACTTTTGTTAGCAATGATCCAAATGACTTAACAGCGCTAACACCAGGACATTTTCTTATAGGAAATGCTATACGACATGATGCAGAATCTGATCACTCTACTGTGAGTCTTCGCTCCAGATGGAGTCTGATTCAACCTCAAAGAGACTACTTCTGGAATCGTTGGAGCTGTGAATATCTACATCAACTCCAAGAAAGAAGGAAGTGGAGGACTTCACATCCGGATGTCAACATTGGGGATTTGGTTATGTTGAAGGAACAAAACAAACCACTACAATGGAAACTGGCGAGAATTGTCCAGATATTCCCAGGAGAAGATGATCATGTCAGAGTGGTGCTTCTTCGTACTCCTGGGGGCCTTCTGAAGAGACCAATAACCAAGATATGTCCTCTGCCTTACAAGGAGTGAGCTCTTGAACTGGAATATAGTTCAAGGTTGTGGGGGAGTATGTTGGATTCAAATGTAAATATTCATTTATTCATTTATTTGCATTTTTTAAATTCATTTTGTTTTCATTAATTAATTTATTTCATTTAATCTGTGAAGTTTATTTTTATTATTTGGCACTGTTGGTGTTTTGTTGATGTTTTTTAATCTCCTACCATTATCATTATTGTAATCAAATTCGTGGTAATAAAACCTACTCTATTCTTTGCAAAATTATTCATTCATTAACTCAAATCTAAATTAAATACTCAAATCTAAATCTACACTTCGAACAGATGTTTATCACGATGCTAATTCCCTCACATTCTGATGACATTGAATATTGTACCAAAGTAATTTTGTGGATATAATTAGCAAACATATGCAAAATATTTGCTAGGCCTCTTATAAAATTTGCAATTAATTGATATCTTGAACTTGAAAATATACACATCTTAAAACATTCTTAATATAAGCTTTTAAAGATCACAAAGATTTCTTTCAATAAGTTTTCTCTTTTTTTTTAAATTTTAAATGCTAGCTTTCAAATGATAATCGCTCTTCAAGAGGCTTGATTAAAAAACATCGACTTTATCTCATGAGAAGTGTTTGAAAGTAAAAAGGAAACTCATTGCGATGAAAAAAAAATTTTAAAGACTTTCACAATTTACTTCAAATCATAATTCTTGATAAGCTCCAGCTCAGTTTTGGCACATTATAACTGTTCTCTTTAAATTTTTTCCCAATTTGAAAAATGACATAATGTCTCCACATAAACGTTTTTCCGATGCTCTACGATGTATGAAATTAGGAGAATGGAAGCAAGTTAATCCCAGACTGAATTCGCCAAATAGTTCGATGTTAATAAAAATATGAACTGGTAGCTCAGGGACAATTCAATGAAACCTAAAACCATCTCCAGAAAATCAGGAAAGAGTCGAAGAGATCCATAAAACATCCAAAGAAGATTACCACCCGATTCTGACTGCTAAGCGCCCTATAGGAGGCGGCAGCTACTTACCCCATCAATGAGTTCCCATATTTCTCTAGTTTCAAGACGAAATGGTTACCGAAGGCTTCAAGAGGATGGTCTTTATGCCAGGCGACAAATGGTGTATGTCCCTCCCCCTCCTTGTCACAGAGAATCCGCTTGAATTGGTGCCGGGACCAACAGCCCTAGAACCAGGATCGTAGGACCATATACAGTCAAGATACGAGTAGAGTATAGAAGCTGATTCTCGGCGAATTTTACCTGGAGAGAACCTGAGAGCCACTTCCTTCTCACTAATATCAGATAAAGAAACCGTTTTGGGAAAGAGGTCAAATAGCCTGAGTTGACTCCATATCGAACAGACGTACACTTCCCACGTGTTTGAGGAGGCAACATTGACGGCTCAAAGATGAGATTCTACGGAGATATCTTTCGGGGATATCATTGGTCCAGCCTCATTTCATAGAGGATAATTCTCGTCCACATAGGGCAGTACTAGTCTATGATTTCCTCGACAGTAAAGATATTTAGAAGATGTCAGTCAGCTCTCGCGTCCCGTATCCAAAAGAAAAATAAGAACATGTTTGAGATGCCTTAGGAAGACTCATTGGACATCATCATCCCCTTCCCGGTACACTCCTTGAAATGTAATCTAATCTCTCGACGCAGTGGGCTATTGCCACGTGGAAAATTGGGGAAGACAAACCTCTGGATGACACAGCCATGTTATTTAAGACAAGAACAAAACTATGAATGATAAACAAAAGATAAGCAATAAGGGACGTTTACAGAGTAACAAATATATAAGCATGAAAAATTATACTCTTTTAATAAAATAATAAATACTTTGCTACAATATTTTGCCTCAATACCTTCTCAAAATTATTTACTCATCATGAAAGTTCGTAGTACGAGTTGTATAGCTGTTAGAAGTGTGATATCCATACTACCTATTAACTCCTTATATATTAGCGATTTTATGGTATTTTTTGAGTGTGTATTGTTTAGATGTAATTTAAATATTTCATATATATTGCAACACAATATTAAATTTTTAATAAACATATTATTAATGTTCAATTTCTTATTATTCAGCATATTTCTCCTAATGTTTCTATATTATTTAATTCTGATTATAGAACAACTAGCCGAATGACCCGGGCAACGCCCGGGTTTTACCCTATTAAATTTTTTTATTCAAATACTATTCGTTACAATTATAAATTGGAGCCGTGGATGTCACTCTTGTGAAACGTCCCGCTCCAAACTTCACATGTACATTAGGTCAGCTGGTATTACCCCCATTTTCACCGCTGGAGGCGCAAGCGAAAGAGCAAATAACACGACGGATATTCGGGATAGAGACCTGAAATCTTCCCTAAATGTTTTTCCTTATTCTACTTTATATACTGTTAAAATTTCAGTCAGATTAGTTACGTATTGTGGACGTGTATAGTTGTAAAAATAATTGGCCGGGAATCGAACCCGGGCCGCCCGTGTGGCAGGCGAGCATTCTACCACTGAACCACCGATGGTTATAAAAAATGGCCATATTTGGGTATTTATTCCATTCACAAAAGCAAACGGTGACAGAATTAAGAATTGATTGATGACTCTGATACTTGTATATTTTAATACATATTTAAATCTTTAGATAATAAAAAGGTATATGTTGGATTGAATAAAAGATTTATTTGCCAACATTTCCAATATATTGATATCGCCAATATAATGATATTATGTGGCGCTGAGTTTGTTTATACAAAAATGTAATGCCTTGACAAAGGTTGGCGTTTAGCTAACCGAAATATTGGCATATAAATCTTTTATTTAATCCAATATATGTCTTTTTATTATCTAAATATTATTTAATGTTAATATAAATTTGCAAATGATTTAATCATAAAATAAATTGCTTTGCGAACCTCACATGTTTGTATTTCTTCATTATTCTACATGACAATTGTTAAAAAACCTTTTTTTTTACAAATTCATAGAGTATTGATTACCCATAGGAAAAATCTTTATGTATAAAATTTAATAACTTTAAATGGAGTTTTTGTTTAATAAAAAACTCAACAGATTGTGGTTATTTACTTAATTTTAGGCAACACACACACACAAGTGTACAAGAGAAAATAGATGTGTGTCTAAAAAGAAATTAAGCTTACGAGAGGATAAACTCTAATGGGAAAGTATTCACGCAAGGAAGGTTCCAAAATAAATATAAGTAACTAGACGGGTGACCCGGGCTTCGCCCCGGGATTGACCCGTGTGCATATCTACCCGAGTGATATATATTTAGATAATATTTTTTTTATAATTGTTTTTGTTATTAGCATTATCTATTTGTTTGCATCAGCATAATTTAATCTAATCTTTGATAGAGGGCGCTGTTCGTGAGCTAAGTAGAATAATTTGAATATATAGTTTTAATAATTGATTTTATATTTTTTTAAATAGCCTATCGTCTTCCCCGTATTTTTTACCTATGTATGGAAATTTTGGTTTGAATTAGTGAACTACTGCGAATTTGTATACCGGACATACCAACAAACAAACATACAAACATTGATTTATATATATATATAGATATAACGATATAGTGTGATTTATCTTATAATTCAGGTAGTACATATAGCCTATCTTATTCTCTATGTCCTACTCTATGTTAGTGGATCTTAACCCATATCTTAATAATCCATTTTTTCCTTTTCACAAATACCTCTAAGATACTAGAGAAAAAATAAAACTTATTTAAGCGGATTAGAAAAAAAAGTTTTGAAAGACAAAAGCTATTTTTATCTAAAATTTTATAAACATTTTTAACAAAAATAAAACTGGCAGACATTTCTACGCAGCAATAAATATAATTTTAGCAACATTTTTTGGAGTTCGGACTGAATTTAAAAATAAATAAAGAACTTAGATAAGTAGAGATTAAAGCTTACTTTTACAAATTTTGTTAATAAAATTGTGAAACAAATATAATCTTGTGCATGCAACTTTTATTTGTTTTACATATATTTAATGTACTCCATCTTCTTCTTCTTTCTTATCTTCACTCAATCATATTAGGCTATCAAGCTTATAGGGTCTGCTGGGGATGAGTAGAGCTCATTAATGGATGAGCCAATACAGTCAATAATGGGGTTTTGACAATCATCATGGCTAGGTGAACTGGAATGCGTCTGCCTTTCTCATTAAGACTGGGAACACTACTCAATAGCAGACCTATTTAGCTCCAATGTGAAATAGTCGCCTCTGACATGAGGAACAGACGCCATGTATAGCCGCTCCTAACATGGAGTACAAACGCTGCTTATCTTGTATCTCTGGATCAGGAGCCCTTACAGGGTACTATCAGCCGGGCCAGCTGAGCCCAGGTTTTTTGGCGAGCTTGTTACTGCTCCCCCTCCTCCTTTTTAATCCGGGCTTGAGACCGGCAAAGGCGGAGTTGTATTTCATCTTTAAAATCTTGTATAAAGCCTCCGTTAATTTAGAATAAGGCTATAATTAGACTAAGGAGAAAATAGGCATTCCCTATTTAGATGTAGATAGTATTTAGATGGCAAAGCCCTATTTCTAGAAACAAATATAAACTATAATTAAAGTGCCACTAGATAATGGCACAGCTTGTATCGATAAATAAACAGGTTTATTGATATTTCGACGATCAGTACGTTCTTTTTTAAAAGCTTATAGTTTACCCCAGGATATTGGCCACCCCTTGGTGAACCCTCCCAGCGGTTTCGTCAATTTAGTCTACCAGACTGCTTCTTTAGAGCTCTAATACTGTATTGGATCATTCTGCTTTCATATGCTGTACTGAAGGGTAAAAGTCTTCCCAATATTTTTCATCACAGTAAGAACAGTAGAAGTTTGATTTATTTGTGAAAAGAAACATTCGTGTCTTAATGTCTTCATTTGTTATATATAAATGGTACGTTATTGCTTTGTATTAAAATATATACTATTTAGCTAGCTCTACGACCTAATAAAGGAATCTAATCACTAAATTTTCACATCTCGTTTCAATTTATTTAATTTAAAGAGAATATTAGAATGACTTCTGTGCAAGGATGACGCACAAGAACTCTCTGCCTTCCATTAAACATCCTTTTTATACAGATATCTAGTAGGCGTCTGTATACGTGGGGATGTTTTATATCAGCCCGAGTTTGCAGAAAGAATACTTTTTTAAAAAATGAATACATTACGCAGGATAGCAACAGACTAAAAAAACATATGGTAATTAGCAATTATTTTATTAATTAATTTTTAGTCAGGTTAAGAGTTCAATGCCATTTTCAATATAATCCCTTAAAATGTTTTTTTTTTATTCCAGCAAAATGGAGTTGTGAATAAGGTGATTGGCGAAAAAAGAATTAATTGAAGTAAATCTTCATTTAATCTCCTTATTTTATTCATAACTTCTAATGGCTTGAAGTAAAAACGATGTAACAGTTAATTCATTGTACTGAAATGCTATAAAATATAATTTATTGAATAGTTTTAAGCTCATTAACGTATTAATTTTTTACGGAGTTTTTTTTTTTTTTTTGGTTTTGGGGCACGTGACAATGTGTCATTGCCACTTCACCTTAAGTAGGAGAGAAATTGCTCCAATTATGAATAAGTTTATTTTTGTACTCCCACACTGGTTAGTTATTCTAGCGGTGGTGGTGTCTTGTCTCAGAAGGCCTTCTCTACGTGGCGATCGGGAGAAGCAGCACAAGTAATAGACTGCCCTGTAAGTACAGTGTCGTGAGCCCCGAGCTGCTACGGTAACCGTGAAGGCCTACAGGGAACTCTGAAATGTGGCTGCCTAACGGGGCAATGACACCCCCCCACCTTTTCATGGAGCAACAGTTATTATAGTAACATAGGGGATATTTAAGGATTAAATTAAAAAGATGAAACACTCCTGAATAGCAAACGTAAATTATAATGAATCCTCTAATATTTTTATACTTTATAAAAAAATATATATTGTAACAAAGTATTTATTAATTTTATTATTTTTATTAACAGAGTGGTCATTTTTTTTATGTTTATATTTTGCTACTCTGTAAATTTCCCTCGTGGCTTATCTTTTGTTTACCATTCATAGTTTGTTTTTGCCTGAAATAAATTGTTTTCCCATCTCGAAGTTGTTCTTCCCTAATTTTCCACGTGGCAATATATAAAACATGTATACAGCCTACTCCAGGCTGACGAGCGCCAACAGCGCGAAATGCATTCGTGGATGGTTTTTCTTGATTTATCAAGAAATTGGGTGAACGAAATATCAGGGGACAGACTAAATAAATGTTGATTTCTGTTCCACCAGATGGCGCTCTGCCATCTGAAAATCACATATGCTCCTGGTACGGATATGCCTTTTTTATTTAGAATAAAACATTGTATATAAACTGTAATATACCTTGTAGTATAAAGGAAGAAAGGAGAGAAAGCGATAAATTGTTTGCCCGTCGTACGGAGCTGATTGACTTCACGAGATGGGCGCATCGAACGAAATGTTGTTACCTTGTGTATATCGAATAATAAAGTTGAATCAATCCTTTTATATCTTATTTTTTAATTTGATAAAAATAAAGAGGAATATTACATAAGCATTATTAAAATTGAATAAATCATTGGATTTAGCATATATCTATCTACTGAAATATATGGTATAATCGCTATATGTAAATATGTTTTATATTTTCTTTGTTTTTTTAATATTATTTTTTTTACTTTCTTGAAGGGTTCTGTGACGTGTTTGCAAGCCAGAGATCTAGTTGAAACCGCTGCAAATATTCTAATTCAATATCTAATGCTGTTTTTTAATCTTATGCACTTTTCTTTTTGCAAATACAAGTATGTAAATATACTTTTATGTAAATAGATGAATATTTTTATCCAGGCCTAGACGCAGGTAACTTTATTTCTTTGATTTCGAAAACTGTAAGAGATATTTAATTTCTATATTCTCAAATTGTTTCTCTTTTAATTTGACTTCATTTTTTTATAAATATACTATCAGTTAATAAATTTAAAAATTATAGTTTAAAAAAACTTTCTGAAATTTTCTTTCTCAAAACTTACTACGAAACTAGCAAATACAGTAAAACCCCGCTAAAATGAAACTGGAATATAGGGAAACCTCCCTTATAACAAACCTGATATTTTACTTCTTTTATAATACAGTGAACAATGGCTATAACGAACCATGGCTATAGTAAACCACAGGTTCAGTTGCATTGGGGTTCGCTATAGAGGGCTTTTACTGTATTTACCAGCTATTTAGTATTTTTAAAAAATACTTTAAAAGAGTCAAGACCCGAAAACCAACAAAAGAAAATCGCATACGCTGAAAATCAATCAATTATATTTAATTCAAATAATTGGACTTTTTATCATATCGTATACATTTAAACCAATTAATATTAATCATATTTTACCTTAATTCTTTTGTAAGACTTTGGGTCTTAATGGGGGATTTTGTTGTTATGTTGTATATATGTGTGTGTATGTATATATCATACTTACATAA